AATCGACATAACCATGATTATCGAGAGAAGGTTGATATTTCATTATTTTATGAAACAATTGGAGCGCAGGAGTTTCTAGATTAGCATGTCGATGTTGACAAGTTTTTCGATGTTATGAGTGTTCTTGAGAACAAGTAAGTTAAGATGGTGGCGATCTGGCTGAAGAGTACTACTATTGTCTAGTGGGATAACCTTGTTGTTCAAAGGCAGAGGCAAAGGAAGAGGGCAATCATAACTTAGATAAGAATGAAATAATTGATGATTGACCAGTTTTTACCAGAGGATCGTGAATAAATTCTTTATAAGATGTATATTGAGTGTATTCAGGGAAATATGATTGTGACTAAATACACCACTGAGTTCCTACATTTTTAGCGCAATGAATTGGGAGAATCAAAGGGCCAGAAAAGTGGCTCGATATATTAGTGGCCTAAATGGATCCTTGCAAGAGATATGAGTTTACAAACTGTACGAACTGTAGCTGAGGCATCTAGTCTAGCTTTGAAGGTATAATTAATGGATAAATCCCCTCAAAATTTATCATCTTTTAGGTATTCGTCCCAGAATGACTTTGAACTTATAGGCGACAGGGAAAAGAGTGCAACAACCAGAAATTCCAAACATGAGAATAAGGGGACTAGAAACCATATGAGTGTGCGGTAGAGTAAAGCACCACTCCAGAGGAAGAATGATCCATATGTTAAATCAAATAGAGACACATGTTATTATTGTAATAGAAGAGGTCATAGATCAAATGTTTTTCTTGAAAATGAAGTCGCATTATCCTATGGTATCTCTTACTTTGTTTTGATTTTTTTGTTGCTAATTTTCTTGTATGATATTTAATTTGTTTGCGTATTTGAAATTTTCTTATCAATTTGTATTCGAGTGTTTGTACTTTATTCATATTTAAGTTATATTGTAATCGCTTCAGCTATTGTTACTTTGTACCATTAGAGCCCCCCATTACTCAATAAAATAAGAGTGTTTATTCCTTGAGAATGTTTCTTTTTTTAGCCTAGCAAGTTGTCTTTTTTTCATTTCATCAAACATGGCTTGAATCACAAGTTATAAATCTTAGAATTAAGATGTTGAGTGTTTGATTTGAATCATGTACTTAATGTAAATTAAACCATAAACTTGTGAAAAACTGGGATTTTCTACTAGACGACTTGATTTGAATCATAAAATAAACCTGATTCAAATCACAGACTCTTGTGACTCGAATCAAATGCTAACCATGAGCTGAATCATGTGTCTTAGTGAAGTCTTATTTGGGTTATGCTCTTATTGATTGGAATAAGGAACTTAACTTGATTTAAATCATGCTATATTATGATTTGAATGATGATTTCCTCTTGACTTGAATTGTGGCTTCACAAAATCCATTTTCCCATCTTAGATTTAAACAATTGTTTCTTTGGTGAAAGCAACGGGTGAGTGAAAAACCAAAAATGGTGAAAACCATTTTTGAGACAAAAATATAATTTATCTTCTCTTCTTCAGCGTGTCTATTCTTATCACATTTAATCTTTCTCTTCTTCTCTAGAACAACTTCTTGAATGTTAATTCATGTAAGATTCATTTTCTCTTTTTGTTGCATCTTATTTTTGTGCAATTTGTTATTGTGTTGAGTGAATTAGAGAGAGTGAGTTGATTAATCTTATTTTGTTGTTAATTATTAATCAAGGTCAATGATATCAATCAAGAACCAATACCTATTTATCTAGAAATTTGAGAGAACCTTGTGTGTGTGTATGTGTGTGTTTGCATTCACATTCATCTAATCCCTTGATTAACACATTATCTTTTAGAGTGTTTGTGAGATAGCCTGGAACTGCTCATAATCTTTATCCTTAGTCATTTTCCATTATTATGGACCTTCATATCCAAAGGTTGAATATTGAGGGTGACTAGTGGTACATTAGGGTATCTAATGTTTTTGTGTGAAGTATGTTGTTTGTAACAAGTGCATATATCATTTCTTGAATATAGTTTGGTCCTTGGTGTTATCTATCAAGGAGAGAGTTTCATTATACTCCAAGTAAGACTTTGGCGAGATCAAGTATCAATTATACGTAATGTGAAGGTGGAAGTTATCCATATTTGGTGGGGTTGGAGAAAGATTGCTTGCAGGAAAAATTGGGAGTTATCCAATCAACGCTTAGCTAATGGAAATCACTCACACAAGAAATCAGTGGGATCATGTGGATTTCCCTATACAAATACTTGGAGCAGGTTATTATGGATAACAAGTTTATTTGATCAATATCTTTTAGGGATCTTGTTTTATTAGCAGTTTGAGTGTCTACATCAATAGAGGGAATTATCGTTTGATAGTTCGATGTAACCAAAATGCTTGTATCAAACTTATCAAAATAGTGATCGTGATTATTTTCCAATGGTTTCTTAACACCATTGAAGAGTGAAGTAGGTAAAGCGAGGATGAACGTTGAACCACTATATATATATATATATATATATATATATATATATATATATATATATATATATATATATATATATATATATATATATATATATATATATATATATATATATATATATATATATATATATATATATATATATATATATATATATATATATATATATATATATATATATATATATATATATACTCCCTCCGGTCTCATTTATAAGAAAAAATTAACGTTTTATATACATTGAATAAGTAATGTATTTGGACAATATATTGTCCAAATACATTACTTATTTAATGTATCTAAAAAGTTAATTTTTTCTTATAAATGAGACCGGAGGGAGTATTTTGTATCTTTTCTTCTTCCCTGATTTCTAGCATTCATTAATTTAGTTAATGAATTAGTGCATTATTGCATTGTTTTTATGCCACATAAGTTAGAATGTGCTTATAGAGATTTAATCTACATGCTTAGGTCTATGGTATATCAATCTTATTAAATTATCATAAAGTCAATTATGTCTTGACAGAACATCTATGAAAAGAGTTTTTAAATCGCTTTGTTTAAAGCGACTTTGGTTGCTTGTGATTGACTTGAATTAGAAGCAATCAAGTACTTAGTAAAATCATGTATTATTTAATTTGGTTTAATTTATTGAGATTCTTCCAAACTCTCTTGTTTTTGTGTTTTGCCTTCTCTCTTCTTAAAATCTTTAATTTCGTTTATGGGGCCTAAAATGTTTTTGAAATTTTCTTAAAAGGAAGGGGTCTATTAACCCCCCTTCTAGACCTCTTTGTGTCCATATTCTTACTCAACAATTGGTATTAAAGTAGAAATTTTGATCAAAGTCTTGCGGCTCCAAAAGTTGAGGATATGGTTTCTTCGATCCTAGACGAGTTTTTCTAATCGCTTAGAAATTTATGCAATTAATTAAATTTCAATGATACTATAATGATTTACTAATGTCTGGTTATTCGTTGCATACATTACCCATATTAATCTAAAGTAAAACCTTACTAGTATATTCTTCAAACATTAATTGTATTTAAGATATTCCTTAAGTTTTTATTCATTCAGGATTGAACTAGCAATATTTTGAGGTATATGCACTGTAAAATTGACACCATGTCTTAAAGGTTTCTTCGGATTAATCTTAATTGAAGATGGACGTGCATTAACACAATAACATGCTGGGAGTTTTTGTGAGATAAAAGAAATAATAAACATCTTCTAAGTGACCTATTCTTCTAAGGTTAAAGTAAAAAGAATATGAAGACAGTTTTATGGCTATTGGCAATGATTTTATGAAGTTTCAACAATTACAAAATATTCAAGAATAGAGTATTCTCCTTGAAGTTTCATTAATAACCAAAGAAATGATTGAGTTATTCGGGATTGACAACTTGTGTCAATTAGTGATAATCAAACAATCACCATTCAAAATTCATCTGAAGCCTTTATGAAAGAGAGTACGATAGTACACTTCAGACGTGCAAAAGGAGTTGTATCCAATTAGTATATGATTGATCGTATTTTAAAGCTTATGGTATTATTGTTGTTGATTAGTAATTATTCTCGTGTGCAGCAAGTTAAGCCTAGATTGTTTAAATTGGTATGATCGTTCCAACCTTCCATTATTTCTTTTTGTGTATACATAGTTGTAATTATTCAAATGCCTAAATGTGTTGTATGTTTGAAACATGTATGTGCATGCAAGATGTTTGTGCATTTCATGTTTTAATTTTTCGATCATTCAATACATCGTTTAACTTTATTTTCGTCCATTTATTGCATATATTAATCTGCATTTAAATTCATGTATGCATGCATAATAATCATATTATTTTCATTTGCATTAAATGTATTTCTCATTAAAATTTATTATCACTAAAAACAATTATCGCATCTCATAAAACCATTTTCTCATGCATTAAGATAATTTTTCAAAAATATGCTTCATGATTTGAATCATGAAAATAACCTATTTCGAATTAAACCATTGAAAATTCAAAGTTTTGGGCATTGATGAAGTCTGATTTGAATCACAACTACAACGTGATTTGAATCACAACCCATTATTTGAATTTTTCAAGTGCTTGATTCGAATCATGAAATGAAAAACTCACGCATTAAGTCATTTTTCAATAGTAACGATTTATTTTATTTTCTGTTCATTTCATTTCATCCTCTCACGCCCCCACATTCTCATTTCTCTCAAAATTCATTTTTTTCCAGAACCACCGTAACATTTCATTCTTCATAAACATTCATCTGTTTCATTTTATTTCATCATCATCAACCATCCCCAAACCTTTTTTCTAAACCTGCATCATCATCAACTCAACAATGACTTCTCAAGATCAACAAAAGAAGTTAACTGAGAAATAAAAGGGGAAGAGACAAGTCTCAACTTCAATTTCATCTCCTCCTCAAGTTTCAAAAAGACCAAGAACAAAGGATCGATCAAGAAAATAATCATTTGATGCTAGGGTTCAAAAAACGTCAAAAATTAGTACTTCTCATCAAGGCTCAAACAGATACGTCTCTCTGGTCAGTATGAAAAATCGCAAGTTACTTCCTGAAGAAAGTTTGTTGAGGTATCTGTGTAGCTTTTCAATCAAGCCCGTTGAGTCTGAGTACTTTGTTGAAAAGAACTCTGAAACTAAAATAGGAGTTGAACTTTTGGCCTCATGTGAGAATCATGGTTTGATGAAGTTTTTGAGTTTGAAAAAGGATTATGATCCTGAGTTAGTTAAAGCATTTTATTGCAACTTGAAGACTATTGATGATGGATTAAAATGTCACCTTAATGATAAGCTGATTAAACTTTATGTCAATTCACATTTTGTTATACCTGCTGGAGATGATGAAGTTGACACCTCAAATTCTCTAAAATTCAAAAGCTTGATTTTGTGTCAATGATTTTTAAGTCTGTTTTTAATAGCCGTTTGGATTTGGCTAACTTTAACATTAGTCAAATTACATTTGAAATGAGAATTTTACACTAAATTATTGTTAAAATATTCTACAGGGAATCCCGCAACCGACAAAAACAGATGATCTAAATTTCCTTTTTGATATTAAAGTAAACAATTTCTCTTGATTAGAAAACGTTACTGAAATAAAAAATAACTTATTTTTAAATTACAAATAAAATATATAAGAAGACACCACTTTAACAAAATACAAACATCAACTAAACTAGTTGAGATTTAAATCATATATCTTAAATGATATATCCTTCATTTCAACTAAAACTTTTAAATTATATTATTTAAAAAAAGAATCATGGCACATACAACTATTTTAACATTAACATTGAATAAAATTTTCTATTAAATTATGCTAGTGTTGGCTCCCAAATTTGACACTTGCTATATTTGGACTCTTTGACCAAACAACTGGAAATGAACTACACCAGGAGATGTAATTCGACGCATGAGACAAATTAAGGAAAGGATCCAAGGTATAATAAGAAAGCTTCGACCAAATGTTCATTCGACGGAGGCAGATGTAGGTTGTTTCGACTGAAGGGAAGTGTTCGCGCCCTGGCACATGGGACGAAGGCCATTTTGAAATTTAAATTATTGGAGGGAAAGGTGGTTTTATCAGCGTCTAAAGGAAGGAAACGTGGCAAAAGGCTATGGGACGAGAGGCATGCAGGAGACACTTGTCTTCATCCTAGTGCAGAATATCCCCTCGACGGTTACCTATTTTTAGTATAAATTAAGAAGTTTGTATAATTTTTAGTGTGTGCAACTTATAGTACAAAGTCCATCAAATATTATCCAAGTAACTATTGCGTGAGAAAGGATAAAAAGCAGAGCAATGTACGTTAGAAACACCCTTTTTACTTAATAAAAGTCTTCTCACTTTACTTTACCATTATCTTGCAAAGTTATCTTTTACTTCTTTTTACTTCTTTTCCTTGCATTTTTATGTTTTCGTTTACTGTTCAACAATCTTAAACATCTCTCCCCTGGGTCGAACGTGCGTTCTTCCTTCTCACTTATTTTACATAAAGATTAGCATATGTTCTGGGATTAGTTTGGTCTATCCCGCAAGTAAACCAAAAACTTACCTTTTTTGGAGACCAGCGGTTGTTTACCAAAAACAACGGTAAACAAATTGGCACACCCGGTGGGACGTTGCTAATTGTCTATGTTATTGCGTTTTTTCTTCTGTACAGTTATAACATTGCATGTTATTAAAGAGTGGTAGAATAACCAACAAATATACTGTTAGGAAAGAAAACGAAGAGAATAGTATGGCTAATGAGCCAAACCATAGAGAGATACCTCCACCGATCACAGGAACAACAATTACTACTGTTGTCGAAGGGACTATCCCAACTTATGTCGGATCCATACCAGCGTTAACCATGAATCAAACTGGACCCTTACAGACGTATGTGGGTCCAAGGGGTCCTTCAGGAACACCCCCACCAAGGATGAACCTAGGGTCTCGATCAACTGTACCCCCAGGCTTTTCGACAACTTGGATGGGTCAAGAGCAGCCATATGGCATGCCAACTACTGAAATGGCTAGCCTTATGAATGCTACATCTACTTTCTCAGAACCTTTGGTAAATGCTACATCACCATTACAGGGATCTGGAGTCAGTAGAAACCAATTTTTAGGAGGGCCATCTCATATGATACCAAGTCTCACAAATGCTTCGACAGCAATTTTGAGGCAACAGATGGACGAAAGTAACCATGAAATGGTACAGATGTTAGCACAAACTCTAAGTACAGTACTAAATCCCCTCATTCATACTGCAACGTAGTCGAATCAACAGATGACAACGCAAATAACGCGCATGGCTGAATTCTTTAGGGTGCCTCAAGTTGCTCAACTACCCTAAGTTGTTCGACAGCCCCAGAGGGTACCTATGAGGTTAAATCAAGAGGTAATCATGGAAGAATATTTGACCATTAATCCAAACCCCCAAGTTCCAAGGATCGAATTAGAACAACCAAGATTAGAGATACCTCGAAACCATCGAGAAATCGATCAAGGCGTTATTCTGGCAAATAGAAACCAAAATGCTGACGAATTAATACAACAAGTTCGACACCAGAACTATGGAGCGGATAATAATATTAACTGCTATGATCGAGAGAATCATGCTTCAAAATGGGATGAGTGTCGGTTTCCATAGACCAAAATTTACATCCCAATTGTCAGAATATATTCTGCAAACAGACTTACCACCTAGGGGAAAAGTCCCAAAATTCACTAAATTTTCAGGGGATACGACAGAGTCGACTGTCGAACATGTGGCTAGGTATTTGATAAAGGCGGGAGAAATAGCAAACAATGAAAACCTTAGAATCAAATATTTCCCAAGTTCATTAACTAAAAATGCTTTTACTTGGTTCACTACCCTCCCAGCCAATTCGATCCACAACTGGACCCAATTAGAAAGATTGTTCCATGAACAATTTTACATGGGTCAAACCAAGATAAGTCTAAAAGAATTGGCTAGTGTAAAAAGAAGGTTCACAGAGCCAATTGATGAATATCTAAATAGATTTCGACTACTCAAAGCCAGATGCTTTACCCAAGTACCTGAGCATGAATTAGTTGAAATATCAGCAGGTGGCCTGGATTATTCGATTAGGAAAAAGTTGGATACACAATACCTAAGAGATATGGCCCAACTTGCTGATAGGGTTCGACAAGTAGAACGCCTTAAGGCTGAAAAGGCCAAAACTGCTAAAACTCTTCGACGAGAAAGGGTAGCTTATGTCAAAATGGATGATGACGATCCAGAGACATATAGCGATCCTGTAGATATCGAAGAAGGCGAAATCGACCTAGCTGAATTAAAAAATGGACCACCATATGCTTGTAAATTATTGGTGCCATCAAATGGAAAAAATCCTGTGGAACCTGAGAAAAGCAGTGATAAATTTCCTAAGAAAACTTATAGTTTTGACATATCCAAGTGTGACAAAATATTCGATCTATTAGTTAAAGATGGACAGATGATAGTGCCCCCAGGGGCAAAATTTCCTCCTTTAGAACAGAGAAAGAAAAGAGGTTTTTGTAAATATCATAATTTTTTAGGACATAAGACCTCACAGTGTTTCCTTTTCAGGGATCTCGTTCAACAAGAACTGAATGAAGGAAGGCTGAAATTTGCTGATAAACCAGCAATGAAAATCGACACCAACCCACTACAAGCAGAAGCTCATTATGCCGAACTAGTTGGCATTCATATGGTAGAAGTGTCTGAAGATTTCATCACCAAACCCATCTTCAGAAGTTTCACTGGGAACATCTCCAGAAAAACAATCGAAGGGGTGAGAAAGGCTACTGAAGGCCTGGACTCAAAAAAAGAAGTTGACCAAGCGTCAAAAGAAAAGGCTGTTGTTAGCCTGAAATTGATCAAAGGAGTTACCAAAAGCTCTAGCAAAAGAACCATCATAGGTTCTTATTTGGATGTTACAAAGGGTTCGACAGAAGCCTTGGAGACCAAAATGCAGAAGATGAACCTGACTGCCAAAAGCAACCTGCAGGTTAATGTGGTCGAAGTCTCTGGAGCTAGAGTTTCAGAGGAATCCCTTCGACAAGAGCAGGTAAACAAAACTGCATTACCAAAGGAGGATGAAATTTGGCAGATTTTTTGCATAGATGTCAAAAGAAGAAATCAGAGGTTATGCTATGTGTTGTACCCCAAAATTTTCCCTCTCATGTTTTCCAAAGTCTCCCCCCTACATGGTTGATCACAAACTCTTGCCTAAGGAAAAAGACAATTTTTGAGTGGTGCTTTAAGTACCTTTCGATTGGCATTCTGAAAGACCCTTCGATTGGTATTCTGAAGGAGCATTTCGATTGGCATTATGTCAAAGCCCTTCGATTGGTATTCTAAAGGAGCATTTCGATTGGCATTATGGACAAGCACTTCGATTGGAATTCTGAAAGACCCTTCGATTGGTATTCTGAAGGAGCATTTCGATTGGCATTATGGACAAGCACTTCGATTGGCATTCTGAAAGACCCTTCGATTGGTATTCTGAATGAGCCTTTCGATTGGCATTATGGACAAGCACTTCGATTGGAATTATGACAAAGCCCTTCGATTAGAATTCTGAAAGACCTTTTCGTTTGGCACCCTGGGCCAAGCCTTTCAATTGGCATGCCAAGGGATCCTTCGATTTAGCATTGTGTCAAGGCATCTTCGACAGGCATGTTAACCATGTCCTTCGATTAGCATGAACAACACCTTTCGATTGGAATTTTAATTAGTACCCTTCGATTGATATTTGGACTAGGGCCATTTGAAGAACTCCTTCCAGGCCATTTGAAAGAGGCCATCAAGAGGGCACTCAAAAAACACGTCCAGGTACACTGAACATGAGAAAATTGCATGTTTCCCTTGCAAATATAGAAATGATTAAATGCTGATTGTGGATTTAATTCCTGAGTTAAAGGCCGGATTCTTGCCTTTTCTGTTCCTAAAGAGCTGATTCGACCAGAGGGATTCTTTTCAAATCAGGACCAATCGAAGAGCAGGGCCTGAATGCATTCAAAAACCAAAAGTGTCCAGATTCATTCCAGATTCCAAAGAGACACGAATGTTTCAAAAAAAGGAAATATTTTAATGTGTTTGATTCTTGTCTCATGGCTTTAATGGCCTGGTTAAATGGCTGTCCCTTGCCATTTTCATGCACCCTCACACTCCTATAAATACGAGGCCAGTGACACATTACCAAGGACGAACAAAAAACATTACAAAAATTATAGTAAAGAAAAGAAAACTCTACAGAAATAAAACAGAGGGAACAAAAACGAACAAAAAAAACACAGAAAAAATAGAGAAAAGAAACAGGAAAGATTTGGAGATACGCTGCCCACAACCCACCAAAGGTTATCAGCATTGTCATCCAAGCCAAAGCAGCCATCCAGCGAAC